CTATGGGTCAGAACCAACTCAATGGCACTTAACAACAATAGTAGGTATATAATCTTCACAAACCTCTTGTATATTTTAAATAATATATAGATAACTTATACCTAGTATAAGGTAAGCACTGGACTGCTAATTACTACATCAGTGGTCCAGACACACCAGCTGCACCTTGGAAACCTCATGCAGGACTGCTCTGAGTCAGAACTGACTCTATGACACTAACAACAACAATAACAATATAATGTACATGCTGTGTAAGTAATCCTTACACTCCCTCTTAACCATTGAAGGATTGCTTTGACCACTTAATTGCTTTTTGTTGTTGTTAAGTGCCTTTGAGTTGGTTCTCATAGCGACCCTGTATAGGTTTCCGAGGAACAGCTAGTAAGTTTGAACTACTGACCTTGTGGTTCCTACAGTGCCACACCAGGAGTTTTTGGAAGCTTCTTTTGTTTTTGGAATATTTTCAATCTGTGGTTGGTTGAATCCGCAGACACAGAATTTGTAGCTATGAAGGGTCACTTAGAAGGCTGAATGGAAAGTAGGAAGGCTCTGAAAAGTAATTCTAAATTTCTGAGACAGAAATTATGAATACATGAATAGCAGTATCACTTAATTTAAACAATGACTTTAGTGTGTTTCTATGGAGGCACAAAAATGAACAGGAAACAGATTTAAAGACTGTTGCAGTGTGAACCAGGAGGTGAAGTATTACTCTGGCTTAAGAACCACGGACCAGTGTTCCAGATGTCACTGAATCAGTTTACAGTTTAACAATGGTGACAGTGTATCTTGGTTTGCCAGGAACAACTTCTTGTGCTAATTCTGAACAGTGCTGGTTTTAATTCTCAAAAGGGTTTCAGTCTGGATGATAAATTGTAGGGTCACCCGAAAGTTATGTTGCTTCTTCTGGCTAGTCATTGCAATGTACCTTGAAATTTATGTGTAGTAAGAAATCTGTGAATATTATTTGATATTCATGTGCATGAACGGCTACAGTCATACATTGACAGAGAACTTCCAGAGGTTCAAGCTGGATTCAGAAGAGGCCGTGGAACGAGAGATATCATTGCTGATGTCCGATGGATCTTGGCTGAAAGCAGAGAATATCAGAAGGATGTTTACCTGTGCTTTATTGACTACGCAAAGGCTTTTGATTGTGTGGATCATGACAAGCTATGGACAACATTGAGAAGTATGAGTATTCCAGAACACTTAATTGTACTTCTAAGAAATCTGTACCTAGACCAAGAAGCAGTTGTTCGAACAGAACATGGGAACACTGAAAGTTTTAAAATTGCGAAAGGTGTGAGACAGGGTTGTATTCTTTCACCATACTTGTTCAACCTTTATGCTGAGCAAGTAATACGAGAAGCTGGGTTCTATGAAGAAAAACGTGGCATCAGGATTGGAGGAAGACTCATTAACAACCTGCGATATGCAGATGATACAACCTTGATCGCTGAAAGTGAAGAGGACTTGAAATATTTACTTATGAAGATTAAAGAGCACAGCCTTCGATATGGATTGCATCTCAATGTCAAGAAAACAAAAATCCTCACCACTGGACCAATAAACAACATTCTTATCAATGGAGAAAGGATTGAAGTTGTCAAGGACTTCATTCTTCTTGGATCAACTATCAACACTCGCGGAAGTAGCAGTCAAGAGATCAGACTACGTATTGCACTGGGCAAATCTGCTGCACAGGAACTTTTTAAAGTATTGAAGAGCAGAGATGTCAGCTTGAGGACTAGGGTGCGCCTGACCCAGGCCATTGTGTTTTCAATAGCCTCATATGGATGCGAAAGCTGGACAGTGAATAAAGAGGATCGTAGAAGAATTGATGCCTTTGAGTTGTGGTGTTGGAGGAGAATACTGAGGGTGCCATGGACTGCCAAAAGAACCAATAGATCTGTTTTGGAAGAAGTGCAGCCAGAGTGCTCCTTGGAGGCCAGGATGGCTAAGCTTCGTCTCTCCTACTTTGGACATGTAGTCCGGAGGAAACAATCGTTGGAGAAGGATGTCATGCTGGGTAGGGTGGAGGGTCAGAGAAAAAGAGGAAGACCTCCAACGAGATGGATCGGCCAGGTGGCATCATTGATGGACTCGGGGGTGGCAGCGGTGGTGAGGTTGGCCCAGGATCGAACATTGTTTCGTTCTGCTGTGCATGGAGTTGCTATGAGTCGGTTCCGACTCGATGGCACCTGACAACAACAACAACAACATGTGCATACTTTTGAATTTGACTTAGGTTTAGGCTTATTAGGACCTCAAGCATTTTCAGTTAGTCTTGAGCATAGCACAGTTAAGCAATGTAAGATAAATCTTAATTTTTTAGGATAGCTTCTAAAATTTTTATGGCCATGGACTTTATTGAGAATATGATGAAAGGTGTGAATCCACTTTCATCCAGCAAAATATATACTCATAAGTTTTACATATAATTTCAGGAGGTTCATGAGTTCTCAAACCCATTCCTGAACCTGTATTATGGTAGTCAATTGTTTTGAGAGATAACCTTTTAGGAATATGAAGGGGCTTTAGAAAATTCATGGAAAGATGAAATGAAAAGTCATTGGAACTTTTTGAAGCCCCTTGTATTACTGCAGTAGAAAAACCTTGTTTATCTGGCATGTAAGTATATTCTCTATGCTAATATATGTACATATGGAATTATATAGGTTTGTTTTTTTCTTTTCACAAATAGTATTATGCTATATGTATTATATGTTTGTAAACATGATTTCTATTTTGTAAAATTTTAAATCTAAGATAATATACAAAAGAATGTATTTTGTATACTTCATGAAATCTTAGATAAAAAGGCTGTAGCTATCTTAATCACAACCAGTGCAGAGCATAAGATGTATGTCTTGTCATTTATGATATTATTGTTATTGTTAGGTGCCACCAAGTCCCTTCTGACTCATAGTGACCCTCCGTAGAACGGAACGCTCCTGGTCCTGTACCATCCTCACAGTCGTTTCCATCTTTGAGCCCATTTTGCAGCCACTGTGTCAGTCCATCTCCTTCAGAGTCTTCCTCTTTTTCATTGACTTTACCAACCATGATGTCCTTCTCCCAGGGTTAATCACTCCTGATAACATGTCCAGAGTATGAGAGATGAAGTCTTGCCATCCTTGCTTCTGAGGGGCATTCTGGCTGTATGTCTCCCATAATACATTTGTTCATTCTTCTGGCAATCCATGGTATATTCAGTATTCTTCACCAACACTGTAATTCAGAGGTATCAATACTTCAGTCTTCATTATCAATGTCCAGCTTTCACATGTATATGAAGTGATTGAAAATGCCATGGTTTGCGTCCAGCGCACCTTAGTCTTCAAAGTGACATCTTTTCTTTTATCACTTTAAAGAGGTCTTTTGCCACCGACTTGCCCAATGCAAAGTGTAATTTAATTTCATGACTGTGGTTTCCATGGACATTGTGAATCCAAGTAAAAAGAAATCCTTGACATCTTTTCCCTGTTTATTATGTATTGGCTTAGTTGCGAGGAGTTTTGTTTTCTTTATGTTGAGGTGTAGTTGAAAACTGTGGTCTTTGATTTTCATTAGTAAGTGTTTCAAGTCTTCTTTGTTTATGATATTGTTGTTGTTAAGTGCTGTCAAGTCTGTTCCTACTAATAGGGACCCCGACCTATACTGACCCTCTATAGGGTTTCCAAGGAGTGACTGGTGAGTTTGAACCGCCAACCTTGCAATCCAGTGCATTAACACACACTACACCATGACTCTGTTCTGGCAGGTATAGAAACCCTTAAACTGAATTTCCATCTGAGTAAAAATTTGAAAAAATAAAACAAAAAACTCCTGACTTCAATGCCAAAATCCGGGCTTAAGGCAGTTTTTTTTTTTTTTT